AATAACAGTTTTCTTTGAACCTATATTTTCTCTCTTATTTCATTTTGTTTTTTTTATTTAAAATTGTATTTTTTTTTTTTTTTTTTGCTTGCATGTATGCCTGTGTGAGAGTGTCAGATCCCCTGGAACTGGAGTCACAGACAGTTGTGAGTTGCCATGTGGGTGCTGGGAATTGAACCTGGGTCCTCTGGAAGAGCAGCCAGTGCTCTTAACCACTGAGCCATCTCTCCGGGCCCTCCCCCTTATTTCTTCTGTGGTTGATATTATTACATCCTTCAGCAAATCTTTAAAAGAAAAATACGTTTATTTAGTGTGTGTGTGTGTGTGTGTGTGTGTGTGTGTCGGGCTTGGTTGCCGAGTGCCGTTTGCCTAGTGAGCCGTCTTACCGGCCCCAGCAAATCTTTATCAAATGATAATGATAGATATCTGGGATCCCAGCACTGGGGAGGTAGAGGCAAGAAGGCCACTTCGAGGACAGCTTGTGCACAAATTAGAGGACAACACCGGTGATAGGAAACACTATCTCAAACAAACAAACCAAAAAAACAAGCCACACTCAACATTTCTCAGGGAGGTTTGTTACAGACCGAACTGATGAGGGAATAGATAATGGATGAGGTCCCAGAAGTCACGGGAGACAAACAATTTAAGACTGAGCGGCTGGTGTGGGAGGTACGCCTTGTTAGAAAGTCAGATTTTAATCTAGGAATGTGTTAACTAGAGCAACACCAGACCTAAGACATACTCAGCATCGCCCAAATTTCTGCTGCCTTCTTTTTTTTTTTTTTTTTTTTTTTTTTTTTTTTTTTTTTTTTTTTTGGTTTTTCGAGACAGGGTTTCTCTGTGTAGCTTTGCGCCTTTCCTGGAACTCACTTGGTAGTCCAGGCTGGCCTCGAACTCACAGAGATCCGCCTGGCTCTGCCTCCCGAGTGCTGGGATTAAAGGCGTGCGCCACCACCGCCCGGCACCTTCTTTTTTTTTAAATAGGGTTTTTCTGTAACAGCTCTGGCTTTCCCGGAACTCACTATGTAGACCCGGTTGGCCTGGAACTCACAGAGATCTACCTGCCTCTGCCTCCTGAGTGCGGGAATTAAAGGCATGCGCCACCACCGCCTGGCCCACATTTCTGGCTTTGTTGCGAGGCATTGGTGTGTGCATGGGTGTTTGGCCTGCATGTATGTCTGTATATCTGTATGAGGGTGTCAGATCCCCTGCAACTGAAATGATAGGCAATATTGAGCTGCTATGTAGCTGCTGGGAATCAACCCTGGATCCTCTGGAAGAGCAGCCAGTGCTCTTAATCACGGAGCCATCTCTACAGTCCCTAGAGAGCAGCCCGCCAGTGACTACACTAACAAAAACAGTTTGGCCGAAGCAGAACTCCAGAAGCCAAAAAGCGCGGTTAGTATATTTAGAGACTTCCCCAGAACTGTGGACAATGATGGATTTCAGAATTTGTTTTCATTTTGGCAGGTGTTGCTGCCTGTGTGCTGGGTTCTGAGGCCTGAACGGTACTTCCATCACGGTCTCCGCTGTGCTCAGGTCTGGGGGCCTGTCACAGCTTGACTTATGCTTGTGGGGTGATAGTCAACATGTACACCAAAGTCTGGTGCGGTGGTGCCAGCCTGTAATCCCAGCACTCTGGAGTAGTCTGGTCCACTCAGATCCACTCAGGAGGATCTCTGGGATTTGAGGACAGCCTGAGCTAGAGTGACTTCCAGACCAGCTGGGGCTATAAAAACTCTCTCTGAAGAACACAAGCACTGGGCCAGTGGTGGGGGTGGGGGTGGAGATGAGTGTCCAACTCATTTAATCCCAGCACTCCAGAGGCAGAGGCAGTGGGTCTTTAATTTTGAAGGTAGCCTGGTCTACAGAGTGAGTTCCAGGACAGCCAGGACTGTTGTACCCAGAGTTCCCCAAAGACCACCAAGAGACCAAATCTGATGCAAAAGCAAAGTCTTTTTACTGTTGCGGCTAAACCCGGGCTCCTCTGTCCCTCTGACACAGTAGTAGAGCAGGAGAGACCCCAAGTAGCAATGAGGCAGGGTTTTTATAGGGGGTAAAGCAAGTGGGGGTCTTGGGGTCATCAGACTACATAGAACAGACTCAGGATTGGTTTATGGGAGTGGTGATCATGTTAGAAACTTTTGATTGGCTAGGGTTAGTTGGGTGTTACAGTTATCTGGCTGGCCTCGCGTACTGACTGTGGGGACTGGCTCAGTGGCCCAGACTTCGTGTGTCCAATCTCCCAGTTCTGCTGGCAGGGGCATCAGGGATTATAATTGTATTTTGTTCATGGCCCTCCCAGAAACTGCTTGCTCAGGTCTCAGGAAACTGAAATTGAGGCCTGATCTCTGAGAGAAGACTGACAACCTGTTATGGCGTCTGCTTGGTCCTTTCATTTCCCCCTTGAGTAGTATATCATCTCCCATCTTGGAGATGTTTCTTTTTGGTAAAAGACTTTATCATCAGGGTAGTAGATTATTTTGGAGACTAATTGGACCAGGAAGTGAGAGTGTTTTTGTTTTGATCTAAAACTTGAACACTAACTTAGGGGGACAAGCCAGAAGTGTATGTCCACCAAGTATCTTCCAGTGGGGTCAGGAAGCCGGCTCCCACTGGATTCTGAGTGAGATTACAGAGGAGGGAATAGCCATGTAGGGGTTGTTGCACACAGAGCCCATTTCCCGTTTTCAATGGCAAAGTGAGCCTCCCCTTATATAATTGTTGCCATCTGCAAGTGTGTCATGGGTTTGGTCCAGGGGCTGATACTGGGATTCTAGCATCCTCAGTTTAGTGGTACCCAGACAGGAATCATCATTTAGTTAAGTCATGGATGACAAAACAGCCAACATCAATTAGCAGAAGAGCCAAAAGCCCCTCTGATGGCTGACAGAGTTCCTTATCCTGAAGGAACTTGGAAATGAGAATGGGGACCAGTTATTATTTTATCTCAGGTTCCCTATGACAAGCAATTTACATTTGTGCTAACATTCAGGAGGTGGGAGGGTGTGGTGATATTTTGTTTGTGCTCTAATAAATAAAATTTATCTGAGGATCAGAGGACAGAGCCAGCCACTAGATTAGACATAGAGGCCAGGCGATGGTGGCACACATCCTTAATCCTATCACTCGGGAGGCAGAGATCAATTTGGATCTCTGTGAGTTCAAGGCCACACTAGGAACAGAGCCAGGCATGGCGGCACATGCCTTTAATCTCGGCACTTAAGATCTCATGTCTTTGCTTGGGAAGGACACACGCCTTTATTCCCAGGAAGTGATGGCAGGAAGCAGAAGCGTATATAAGGCGTGAGGACCAGGAGCTAGAAGCATTTAAACAGTTCACCTGAGACCCTCAAGGGTAAGGACTCAGGCTTTCAGTCTGAGGATTCATGGAAAGAGGACTGGCTGAGGAGTTGGCAAGGTGAAGTTGGCTGTGTCTTGTTTCTCTGATCATTCAGCTTTCTCCCCAATATCTGGCTCTGGGTTTTTTTTTATTATAAGACTTTTTATGATTCATGTTATGGGTGGGGGGAACAAGGGTGACATTTTCTCTTCTGTAATTGCTTCCTGCTGATATTGGGAAGTTGTTGTCAGGACTCTGGAGAGCCAGAAAGTTAGTCAAAGGCAAGGAGGGAATTTAGAAGCATCCAGCTCACTGACCAGCTGAAGAGATGGCATTTCTATCGGCTGGATTGGTCCATATCAGCTTTCAGCAAGTTCAGGGCTCACAGTCATTTGGAGTAGGTTGTCACCAGCAAATGATGCTTGGAAACCTGTTGAGATAGATATAAACTAGGAACAGGAGTTAAAATTCATGAACTTATTTGGAACTTTCAGAATCATAGTCTCAGTAACTGAGGAAAGAGAGGAGTCCCAAGTCCAGGGGAGAGAAAAATGCCATCCTCAGGAATAGACAGGAGGGGAAACTTAGGCTGAATTTATCTGGAATCCTTTTGACCTGTGAGAAGCAGATCCAAGTTTTACGACTTTCCCAGTTTTTTGACGTTTGTGTGAATTTCCATTTCATGAAAAGACATAAAAGTTCCTGATAGATTAGCATTCTCAATCTGTATTGAAACCCATATTGTAGAAAAAGCAGGTAACAGGTATCTGTAAAACAGTAGGAGTAAGCCGGGTAGTGGTGGCACGTCTTTAATCCCAGCACTCTGAAGGCAGAGCCAGGTGGATCTCTTTTCTTCACCACTTCTTGGTCTACAGATCAAGATCCAGGACAGGCACTAAAACTACACAGAGAACCCTTGTCTCAAAAAACAAAACAAAGCACACACACACACACACACACACACACACACACACACACACACACACACAAAACCCAGCAACCAGCAGGAGTCGACTCATACCCTTGAGTCCTAGCAAAAGTTATAGATTTGGGCTAAAAAGCCAGGTATAAATTGGACTGAAATGTCTTTGGCCCAGTGAAAAGCATCTGTAAGTCTGTATTTAGAAGACAACCAAAAGAGATCTAAAATCTTGAGCTCATAATCCAAACAGTAAGCAGTTGTTGCTCTATTAGCCTATCAGAATTCTATTAACGTTAAATTCTGAACTTCTGAAGGTCCATTGCAATAACAGTATGGTGAAGGAAAGAAGCTTTGTAATATCTTTTATATATCTTCCTCATGTCTTTATATTTTTTAGATCCTTAGAATTTATTATTTCTTAGAAATATAAACAGCTATTTTTTATTTAAATTTATTTATTTATTATGTATACAGTGCATATATCCCTGCAGGCCAGAAGAGGGCACCAGATCTCATTACAGGTGGTTGTGAGCCACCATATGGTTGCTGGGAATTGAACTCAGGACCTCTGGAAGAGCAAGCAGTGCTCTTAACCTCTGAGCCATCTCTCCAGCCCCCCAGCTATTATTTAAGAACAGCCATTTCAAATTATGTTTGAAACCTGTTTATCCCTTAATATGAAGCTTGTGAGTAAGGCAAATCTGTTTGTCTCTCTCTTTTTTTTTTTTTCAGGAGACCTAATAGCTTTAATTAATTAAGGCATTGATCAAGAACTAATAAGGTGGCTGCAACCTTGTGGAAGACTCTGGTTGACTGATGGTGCTAAGCTGACAGAGCTGTAGCTAGCCCAGTCATCGATGCCAGGAGAGATCTGAGAAGGGTAAGTTCTTTTTTTAAAAGATTTATTTATTACGTGTACAGTGTTCTTTTGGCCAGAAGAGGGCACTAGATCTCATTGCAGATGGTTGTGAGCCAGCATGTGGTTGCTGGGAATTGAACTCAGGACCTTGGAAGAGCAGCCAGTGCTCTTAACCTCTGAGCCACCTCTCCAGCCTGAGAAGGATAAATTCTGAGTGCAGACTAAGCAGCTTCCAAATCTATTAAAAAATGACAGAGACTATCCATGACCCGGACCGCCATCATCCCAGGCTCCTGTAGTCTTCACAGCGTTGGCAGGACAGGTGTCAGGACAGCATCAGTCTTTGGCTGCAGACCCATAAGGTGAAAGTTCTCCCAGTAGAGGAGGAACTTGGGGAAGACTGAGCTTATTTTGTCAGTGTCTCATTCATCCAGTCTGGGCCGGATCCCTGGCAGCAGGTGTTGAGTCAGGGCATCTTGCCCAGTGGTCGGTGTTGTCAACAATTCAGGTGGCATCCTCATGTCATTGTTCCATATCGTCTTTGGAGCCCCCGGGAGTCATTGCTAGGAGCTGGGAGTCTCTGTTTGCTATAGTAAGCATTTTATTAAATAATTTAAACGCCATGTTCATCAGATCTTTGATGGGTTTGAGGATCATTGTCTATTAAATATATCTGAGCTAAATGAATCAAGGCCTAATCTTGAAAACATCTTTAAGTCTGGTAACAACCAGGCCAATCTGTTATCCTGTAGATATATAAGTCGAATGGACCTCTCAGGTTCTGTTTTTCTCCTATAAGTATATTTTATAAGCATTTTTCCTATATATAGACATTATATGAGCAGTTAGACTGCAGCTTTCATTGTAGATCACAGATGTGATGTTGACAGTTTTAAGGAACAGGTTTGGATTTCTCTATGAAATTCTGAATCGCTAAGAACTTTTGCCTTGTCATTTCATAGGAGGCCAAACATATAGACTCCTGTAATCCAGAGGGCTGCAATGTGATGATTAATTATTAACCTGTATTTTGGACCTCAGTCCTCCTTTCTCCTTTACAGAGCATGATTCCATTTTTTTTTTCTACTTTTTGGTTTTCAAGACAGGGTTTCTCTGTGTAGTTTTGGTGGCTGTCCTGGATCTCGCTCTGTAGCCCAGGCTGGCCTCAAACTCACAGAGATCTGCCTGGCTCTGCCTCCTGAGTGCTGAGATTAAAGGCCTGTGCCACTGCCACCTGGCTCATGATTCCATTTTTAATATAATATTCTGCAGTGAAGAATCATCAGAGTTTTTTCTAAATGAAGAAAACCAACCAGAATTAACCCAACATGGTTAAATCCCCAATATATTTTATAATTTTCCTTAAAGTTCAGTATAGTTTGTATTTCTTCTGGCCTTTCATAATTTTTCATGTATCTTTAGGTCAGGCCTTCCCCTATTCTGGTATAGCCAGACATAGATACAGTTTTTTCCTTCTTTCCTTTTATTATTTCAGTCTTTTGCCTTCTCTTACTTTTCAGATGACGGGCAAATTTTCATCAAAGTCCTTTCCTGTGGTTTCTTCCCAGTAGTTTAGAGCATCGCATAAGTATAATATTTTAAACAAGAATAGAAACGTATATAGGCATATATTATAATAAAAATTATATTTGTATTAATATAGAAAAACCTGTATCAATGGGAAACATTTGAGACTAGCAGCAGCTTTTTTTATCCTAATCAATAATAATTTGTAATCAATTTTCTTAAATGATGACAAGTATTTGTAACACATTAAACTCAAATTACCAAAATCCATGAATTTTTTTCCTGTGGAAGTAAAAGCATACTTTTTTCCAAATATAATGTATCTTTGATTTTTTTTTAAGATTTATTTATTTATCATGTATACAGTGTTCTGTCTGCATGTATGCCTTCAGGCAGAAGAGGGCATCAGATCCCACTATAGATGGTTGTGAGCCACCATGTGGTCGCTGGGAATTGAACTCAGGATCTCTGGAAGAGCAACCAGTGCTCTTAACTTCTGAGCCATCTCTCCAGTCCCGTATCTTTGATTTTTATTTTAAAGTCAAAGCTTTTCAAAGTATGCAGGCTGGTAATTTAACATTTTTTTTTAAAGTAGTATCAGGACAGAGAAGAGTTAAGGAGGGAAGCTGATGGCCAGCAGACGAGATCTTGACTTTATCATAGTAAAGAAAAATTTGGCTTAGGAAGGAAGGGAGGGGGATTTTGGCCCAGAGTGTGTCCTTGGCTGCCAGTGTTCCTGAAAAAAAAAAAAAAATTGTTAGCTCCTCTGACTATAATAATTAACAATTAATCCCAGATTCTCTGTTCGGTGTTCCTGACGTTTGTCAATTGTAGGCAGTCAGCTCCCATCTCTGCACCAAGAGCACGTACCCCCACCCTCTGTGAGAGCCGCTGGCTGGCTGCAGACCTCTCCTGCAGACCGAGACCAGCCCCACCTGTCGGAAAGCAAAATAGCTCCGGAGGGAGGTGGCCCTTGCTGTGCCTCTCTCTCCTCTTCCAGGAAAATGAGGGAGATTAGGAGACAGAAACAAGTAACGCTGCCATAGACATAAATACTGGCCTCATGCGGGCTTAGCCAGCCCCATGTAACAGATGGCCTCTCTTGCTGTAAGCAAGCCCCACCTGGCAGGAGCTACCTGCTTATCTCAGTTCAGTCATATGGAACAGAACAGTAACATAGTAACAGTCAGAACACAGACAGAGACAAGGACAAGGAGCGCTCCTTTATCTATCAGCAGATCTGAAAATGAGTCATCGGACTCTTGGCTTGCGGTCGCGACCCGCTTAGCCTCTCCAGAGAAACCAAAGGAATCCAGTCCCCCTCAGATGGGTCTCCTGACCCCTCCCAGGAGCCCTGGGACGTCTTCCAGGACCCAAATCTGCAATCCATCGGTGCGTCCATCATAGATCTTATGCGAGCTTCACGGACGGAGCTCCCACTGCTACAAATGGCCGGAAGCAGAAACCAGAAACTGAAAAGACTGGCCGGGCAAATCTGATAATAGGCACAGTAAGACTCAACGGAGGGTGGTTGCGGTGGGATTGGGGATCTCGATGAAAACTCCAAATGTTGTACCCAGAGTCCCCCAGAGATCACCAGGAGACCAAATCCAATGCAAAAGCCAAGAGTCTTTTTACTATTTCAAGTTAGCCCGGGCCTCTCTGTCCGTCCGTCTGTCTGACACAGCAGCAGAGCAGGAGAGGCCCCGAGTAGCAATGGGGCAGGGTTTTTATAGGAAGTAAAGCAAGGTGTGTGTGTGTGTGTGTGTGTGTGTGTGTGTGTGTGTGTGTGTGTGTGTGTGGTGGTGGTGGTTGGGGTCTTCAGACTACATAGGAACAGACGCAGGATTGGTTTATGTAGTGGCAATCATGTTAGTAACTTTTAGTTGACTAGGGTTAGTTGGGGGTTACAGTTACCCATTTTGGGGCAGGCCTGGGCAAGTCCTAGGCTTTGTCCTTGAGCTGCTATGGAGGCTGGCTGGCCTAGCATGTACTAACTGTGGGGCTGGCTCAGTGGCCCAGGCTTAGTGTGTCCTATCTCCCCGCCCTGCTGGCAGGGGCCTCAGTGATTTGCTGTCTTTTGTTCACGGTCCTCCCAGAAACTGCTTTCTCAGTCTCAGGAAACTGACATAGAGGCCTGATCTCTGAGAGAAGACTGAGCAGCTGTTAGGGCATCTGCTTGGTCCTTTCCAGGACTACACAGAGAGATCCTGTTTGGCAAACAAACAAAGAAAAGCACCGGGGATATAACTCAGGGGGTAGAGCTCTTCCTAGCCCATAGGAAGCCCTGGGTTTAACCCAGCCCCAAGTAAACTGGGCGTGGTGAGGGCAATGAGGCTGGAAGATCAGGAATCCAAGGTCATAGAGACCAGCCTCGGAAACATGAGATCCTGTCCCAACTCCTTCTCAAAGGACTGTACCTGGGCTGTTCCCCCTGCTGATGGCACAAGGCCGCGGTTGTCTGCCATGCACACCTATTTTTCTTGCACTAGGAAGATTAACCACAAGCCTCACCCTTGGTGCCTGTCCTGTAACCACAGGCTACACCCTTATCCTGGAATCTACTTCAACAACATTCTGGACGTGACTTTGTGATTTTTTTCCCTTTTTTTTTCTTTTTCTTAAATGCTTTCTTATTAGTTATTTGAAAATCTCGTGCAACGATTTCTTTGAATTATTTCTATTTCTCATTTTAAATGTATACGTGTTTTGCCTACCTATTTGTATGTGCACTGTTTGCATGCCTGGTGCCTGCTTGTGTTGGTGCCTGCGGAGGCCAGAAGAAGCCATTTGACCCCCTGGAGCTATAGTTACTTATCCTCCTCCTTCTCTTTCTTCTCCTCCTCTTCCTCCTCCTCCTCCTCCTTCTTCCTCTCCTTCTTTTCAGAACTAGGGATTGAACCTAGGGCCTTGTGTGGTCTAGCCTCCACCACTGAGCTGCCATCTGACTTCGTATGTGGGAGTATATTTAAGAGAGGGTCTCATGTAGCCAAGCCTGGCCTTGCATTCACTATGTGACCCAAGCTGGCCATAGCAGGGGGAAGGACCACAATCCCCCTGCTTTAGTATCCAGGATTACTGTTGTGAGCCACCATATGTGGCTTCTTTGTCTGTCTGTCTGTCTGTTTTTCTGAGACAAAGACACACATAGCATAGGCTGACCTCACAATCATTATGTAGCCCAGGCTGGCCTTGATCTAGAGGCAGTTTCCTATCTTAACATCAAGTGTTCTGGGATTATATAAATCACCACACTTGACCTTTCTTTCTCTTTTCTTCCTTCCTTCCTTCCTTCCTTTCTTTTTTTCTTTCTTTCTTCCTGTCTTTCTTTTTTCTTTCTTTCTTCCTGTCTTAATTTTTAAATACTTTTTATTATATTTATTTATTTACTGTCTTAGGGTTTCTATTAGGTGGGGAGGGGCATGTGTGTGGACGTCACAGGACAGTTTTCAGGAGTAGGTTCTCTCCGTTCACTCTGTGAGTCCCAGGGATCCATCTCAGGTCCTCGGTCTTAGAAGCAGGCACCTTTACCCCCGGAACCACTTCTCCCTCCCTTCCTTCTAATTTCATTCTTTAACTTGTGTAAACCACGTTTTTCCAACACAATTCATTGGAGACGCTGTCTTTTCTCCAGTGTAAGCTTGTGACACTTTGTCAAAAATTAGATGGCCAGGACAGTAAAGCACCAGTCCTCTCCACCTTTATTTTATTTTTATTTTTATTTATTTATTTTGGTTTTCGAGACAGGGTTTCTCTGTGTAGCTTTGCGCCTTTCCCTGGAACTCACTTGGTAGCCTAGGCTGGCCTCGAACTCACAGAGATCCGCCTGCCTCTGCCTCCCGAGTGCTGGGATTAAAGGCGTGCGCCACCACCGCCCGGCTAAATTGCACATTTTTAAGACTTCTGAATGCAGCTGCCCTTCTTTGCTTCTTTCCTAGTTATCCATTTGTTTTTAATTTTTCAGAGAAAGGGTCTCCTGTAGCCCAGGGTGGCCCCAGTCACACTGTGTAGTCAAGCATAACCATGAACTCCTGATCTTCCTGCTTCCACGTGTTACTGTCTTAGGGTTTCCATTGTTGTGAAGAGACACCAAGACCACAGCAACTCTTTTTTTTTTTAATTTTCCAGAGCTGAGGACCGAACCCAGGGCCTTGTGCTTGCTAGACAAGCACTCTACCACTGAGCTAAATCCCCAACCCCGAATTTTTTTTTTTTTTTTTTTTTTTTTTTTTTTTGGTTTTTCGAGACAGGGTTTCTCTGTGTAGTTTTGGTGCCTTTCCTGGATCTCGCTCTGTAGACCAGGCTGGCCTCGAACTCACAGAGATCCACCTGCCTCTGCCTCTCGAGTGCTGGGATTAAAGGCATGCGCCACCACCGCCCGGCGGCAACTCTTATAAAGGAAAGTATTTAATTGGAGCTGTCTTACAGTTTCAGAAGTTTAGTCTATTATCATCATGGAAGGACATGGCAGTGTACAGGCAGACAGGGTCCTGGAAAAGGAGCTGAGAGTCCTACATCTTGATCTACAGACAGCAGAAGGAGAAACTGTGCGCTGGGCATAGCTTGAGCATATATGGTACCTCAGAGCCCAACCCCACAGTGACACTTTCTCCAAGAAGGCCACACCCACTCTAACAAGGCCACACCTCCTAATAGTGCCACTCTCTATGGGCTAATCATTCAAACACGTGAGTCTGTGGGGGCCATACCTATTGGAACCAACAGATACCATTGCAATGATACAGCACCATACCTGATTGTTGCTGATAACCAGAGGAGTTACAGCCCCTGTTAGGGGCTGCTACAGAGCAATACCCAGGCCTGATTCCCCTCTGTCAGCACTACATTTGGTCATTGTGATGGCATCTGGAGAGGTGCTTAAGTTAGGAGGTGTCTTAGAACCCAGGAGGAATAAGGGTGGTGTAGTATGGACCCTCAGAAGCTTAAAGGTGTACCAGTGTGGGCTGTTTGTTTTGTAGACGGAACCATGAAGCACATGAAGTAGACAGATGGCAGAACACTTCCCCAAGGTCACAGAACAGTGCAAAACCTTCAGCCTCATTAAAAACAAAATGTTATGCCGGGCATGGTGGTGCACATCTTTAACTCCAGCATTTTGGAGCAGAGGTGGGAGGATTTCTGTAAATTCAAGGTCAGCCTGGACAACGTAGTGAGTTCCAGGACAGTCGGAGCTGCATACTGTCTCAAAAAAGAAGCTATTATATCTCAACTCATTTATTGTGTGTGTAAGTGCATGTGTGAGGATGCACAGGCCCCGGCATGCACGTGGAGGTCAGAGGACAACCTGCAGGAGTCTGTGCTTTCTTTTCATGGACCCTGGCTATTAGGGCTGGGGGCAGACGCCTTTACCCGCTGAGCTATCTCATTGTTCCGTCAGTCTGTATTAACTAAATATTCTGTGCCCTGGGCATTGTTCTAACCCACCGAACAGATAACTCATGGAAAACAAAAACAAAGACTGCCTGCTTCATGCATGGAGCTTATTTGTGTTTGGACGTAATTATGATACGCTGCTAATTATATTTCTAGGATTGAAGAGGGGTAATCCTAATTACAGGGGTTTCCCCATGGGAGCGCCCCATGAGTCAGAGCCTGTCTGCAAAGTCCCAACTTCTCAGCGTCCCCTCTTTCCGACCTGCTCATAAGTAGGGCAAGAAAACTTTACAGAGTTCTCGTAGGTACAATTTGCAAGACAATAAGGAATATTGGGAGAGAGAGAGAGAGAGAAAAGAAGGCCTTCCTGCCAAGCAGGGCTGGCAATGAAGTTTTGTTGCCGTGGCAACCAATGGCCTCCCGGGGCCGAGGGCAGCGGTGGCGCGCGCGCATTCACCTCTTTCCTTCCTGGTTCGCTCTGAGATTTTGCCCTCCTGAAGCTGAAAGAAAGAGAATAGAGCGCCGGATCTCTAGGGTGATGGACGGAGGCCTTAGCTAATGGAAGCGTGGACCTGCCCAAGGCCAACCAATAATATACAAAGTTTGGGTCTGGCAGAGCCCGCCCCCCCCCCCCCCCTTGGACCTGAATAACCTGACCCAGACAGAGTTTCGCTCGGAGCGACGGCGCTTCCAGCCAATGAAAGCATTGATTTGGGGCCGGGCGGAGGGAGGGGGCGGGCCGGATCTCTACGGCAACGGCTGAAGGACAGTGACGCGAGCCATTAGTTGTAGTCCGTCGGGTTTATTGACAGCGAGGGCGTGGCGGGGTTTTGTCGGGGCACGGACTAGGGCCAGGAGAGGCGGGGGGGGGGGGGGGGGGGGGGGGGGGGAAAGAGAGCAACGATAGTCAGCCAATAAGAGCGGCGCGGGTTTCACAGCAACGGAGGAGTGACGGCGGGCTGGGCCAATAGAAGGCTTCGTCGGCCGTCAACCCGGCCGAGGGGCGGCGCGGCGGCAGTGCCGGACGAGAGCCGGAGGAGGCGGTGGGAGGTGGTGGTGGTGGTGGTGGCGGCGGCAGCGCGGGCGCCTGAGGAGAAGGAGGAGGAGGAGGAGGAGGAGGAGGAGAAGCGGGTGAGGGGCGGCGCGGGGCCCGACCTCTGAGCCCCCTCTGAGCCCCCGCCCCGCGCCGCCCGGCCTCCCAGTCACCCCCTGACCCGGCTGTCCCCGGGCCCTTCCTCGAGCCTTACCGCCCAAGTCTCCGACCCCGCGGGTCCTCGCGCTCCTCACTCGTAGCCTTCCCTGCACCCCACC